AAAAGGGCGGACACCAGCAGTGACAGACCTGCGAGACAAATGAATAGAAATGCTGCATGGCCAGCGGAAAAGGGCGGACACCACCAGTGACAGACCTGGGAGACACATGAATAGACATGCTGCATGGCCAGCGGAAAAGGGCGGAGACAAATGAATATAAATGCTACATGGCCAGTGGAAATGGGCGGACACCAGCAGTGACACAAAGGGCGGACACATCTTGAGAAAGAATTGAGAACCCCTAACAGTAAACTGTTTGGGGAAATATATACATGGTGTGAAAGCGGTCACCACATTCAACCACTTGGCTACCAGTTTTTGTCACAAGAACTTTAGAAGTGTGACTGTACAATTGTGTAAATTGTAGTTGTTATATACCCCTATGCGCATGTGGTATAGGTATGAAGGTGAGGAAATGGTTTTACTTTTAACCCTTGACAAACAGCTGAGATCTTGGTAGCCGCTGTACATGCACTGCAGGAATAGAAGAGTTGCGACGTTCCCATGCTAACTCTGATAACTCTACTTGACTCGCTTGGGTGGGCTCCTGTAGGCATTTATATGACTGACCCTTGCAAAGCAACCCGTCAGGAGCTTGTGGACAACCTCTGCTCTGCTCCAACTGCATTCAAGAAAGTAGGTCCCGTTCACTTGCATACTATCAAATATCAACCCTTTGCAGTTGCTTTTTCCCTGCCTTCCTCTGACTGCAGCTGGGTGCGAAGCAACTCTAGGGGCATTCGCAAAGTCACCTCACAGTACATCTCTGCCAAGCCCAAGTGAATGAAAATACTCAGCAAATGGCTTCTGCGTTTCTATTGGCCTCGACAGTGCGTGCTACCACCGCAGCACTAAGAGGAGCCAAAGGATGATCACTTTGGAGCTTCCGCAGCTCATCATAAAGGCCTCACAATTTGACAAGACCGCACACTTAAATTGTCAGGGAAAAAAATGCCTGTTGTCACTGTTGCCTTTTCTTTGCTCGTCTTGTAACCAAGTGTTTGTCATTTCTTTTCTGTGCTTGTTACCCCTTTGTTTGGGGAGGCTGCTGGGTGGCTTGGTCACAAAAGCTTTCAAACGCAGATAGCTGGTGGCAACGACGCACTAGACCCAAGAGTCGGAGCTGTACGAAGCGGTTTCCTACGCTTAGAGGGAAAGTCTCCCAAGGCTTTGCCAAGCCACTGTAGTAGACGACAGTGTACCTTGGTATAGAATGCAGCTTGCGTCCAAAACTGCGGAGTAGTGAATTCATATCGCTGCGTCAGTCTTGGTCAAAATTAACCGCGCAATCTATATGTATATGAAGCATATGCATGTGAATCCGTAGAGTATCGAATTCAGCACAAGAAGCTGAACTCCGTTCAGCCTTGGCTCAGCGCCTTCCACTCAAGAGTATGTCTTGCAAGGCACGGAGCTATCAGCAACTGCGTGTCCATACCACCTCAACAAAGAAACTGCAGGGAGGAAATGGACGAACCAAAGGGGTAACTGCATTTGCAGGTCAAGCAAAAAGCACTGGAAGAGTAGTGAGTGTTTTGGGTTGGCTGGCAAGACTGTCGTTTTTCCGGGCATTTACTAGCATCCTGAGGTTGAGATGGTTCATGTCCTTTGCTTCTTGATCAACATTAACTAACCTATTTAATACATAAGCTCAGAAGCTTTGGATTGATGTCACCAAATCACCAAATCATGTCGATCGATTGAGCACGACAGCATGTTGGCATTCCCCTCATAGGTTTAGAGGAGCAAGAGTAGCTTATAGCTTATCATTGCCGCTTGACCTCTCTCTGCATCTTTCTTTTGTTGGCAAGTCAAAAGGAGAAAGCTGTTGCTGAACAAACTAAAGCACGCATAGTTTCCCAAGGCTTCCCACCAAGCCACGATACAAGCCGCGTAAGCCCTCTCGACGAAAGACATTGCGTGCCACCTCTGAAGCTGCCGGATGTTTGCCAGCTGCAGCCTGGGCCATGAGATGCAGCTAGGCTTGGGCTAGGCTTGGGCCTTTCTGCTCCAAAGCCCTGGTGTACTGTCTCTAGACAAGGTTACTCTATGTTACTCCTCTAAACAAGTTGCCCCAATATTGTGCAAAAACAGACCCAACCGGGACTTGCCTACCAGCCATGCGCCACCTCTACTTGGCAGCAACTGAATGCACGGGATGCAAATAGCCAAGTGTAACCACTAGTACTATCCTACTATATTCACAATTCTTGCAGCTGAGTGTATCTGCATGCTTGAACAAAGATCTTTCCAGCCAAATTGCCTGCATAAGAGTCTTCACGCGGTCGAAGGGCACAACCTGAGTCACTCTTTGAGAAGAGCTTCAAGAGCTTTTAGATCGCCACAATCCCAAAGTTTAGCGACCGGATTCCCTCTGCTGGAGTCAGGTGGCGACAATAGACCCTGCCACATACCCAGCCAAAACAGAGATGGCGCGCTCGGAGCCAGTGATGTCACGATGCCCAGGACGCGTCGGACCCGCACTCATGGGTCGGGCAACGATGGGCATTACACCCTGCAATTTGCTTGTTTAAGTAATCAGGTCTTTAGCATTCAGATTGTTTGATTCGACAAAGGTTCCAAGAGCACCTCGTGACTCCCCAATTAACAGTTCTAGTTTCCGGTTTGCTTCAAGCTTGATCTCCAGTGGTAGTACGATGCTACAAATGGAAAACGTGTGAGAGAGAGAGAGATCAATATTGCTTTGACATCACTTGCATTTGACATCATATGGCACAGCTTGCAGAGGCGGAGTGGCCAATGAGTAAATCGGCGAATGGCTTTGTCGGATCAATAGGCCTTCATACGAAAGAAGGCAACATGCCAAACACAGAGGCAACATGCTGAGATATGGACATGCCCTTTGCACCAGCCTGACAGCGCCGGAGCTCTGTGGCGCCACTTGCCAGTATTGACTTCGCAAACATGTCTAGGTCGTTGTGTTCCAGGTGTCATGTCCAAAACGCAAAGATTATTTAACTTTGTCACTTGTTTTTTAGTCCGCTCCCCCCTCGAGAGGTAGCTAGTAGGTACAGGACGCTCCTAGGTAAGACGCAGGATAGCTCACGCACTAGTTATTTGGTTCCTAGATATTTTTATGGCAACTTATATAACTTGTGATGACGTGTCAATTGCTCTGAAGGTACTAGCCTCAACAGTGACCTCAGCTGTTCGCCTCAGTGAAGCAAATGTCACATAGGAGGAAGATGTAGATTCACAAAAATGCGAATGACCTCTGAACTGCAAAGGATGTGTGGTAAATGCAATTGTCATTCTTGTCTGAGCGTACTTGAATGATAAAGCAACTAGCTTCCGTTGAGAACTGGACTGCTGCAGGAAAATGGACCGCTCCCCAAAATGGTTGCCTGCCGAGTTGACAAACTACAACAAGCTTCGGCTAGAACGCACAATCGAAGGCCCAAGTATGGCATGCCCGAGTGTAGCATCCCTTTCACTCTTCTCGCGATCTATCTGTTCCGCACAGTTTTGGTACTGTACATGGAACCCTTGCTTGAGGAAGAAGATAAACACATGTGACATGTTCATATGCTCTCCTTTACAGTAGATTAATAGATCACATGGGAAAGACCAGGAACCCACACCACAGGTGGAAGCATCTTTTGCCAAATGCTGTCGGATGGTTTTGGATTTCGCGGGAGGGGCCATAGCCAACAATCTCATCTGGGCGTGGGAATTGACGTCCCAACACTGCGCCTCGGCGCAGCTCTGCGGACAACTCAATATGGCCTGGCGGTTTCATTCACTTGGCAATTCTACAGAAATTTAATGAAAATTACAAATAAAGTTTCTTGATGAGGAAACTTGTCTGGTTTGAGATGAAAAAGGGATTTCCAAACCGAAACTGGAAATCCTCCCAATGATGGAGGTGGTGAAATCGAACACTGACCTGCTGAGTCCTTGCGCGTGACATGGCAGCCTCAGTTGATACATCTGCATCGCTCAGGTGCGGGTTTCGAAGGCGCTGTCACCAAAAGGAAATGGCCTCCAACCTCGTAGCTTCTAGTTACTAGATGTTACTAGAAAGCTTTTTGGTTACTAGTAGCGATGGCGGCCAACCTAATAGCGATGGCCTCCAACCTAGTAGCTTCTAGTTACTAGAAAGCATTTTTGTTCCTAGTAGCGATGGCGGCCAACCTAATAGCGATGGCCTCCAACCGCCAACCTAGTAGCTTCTAGTTACTAGAAAGCTTTTTGGTTACTAGTAGCGATGGGCTCCAACCTAATAGCGATGGCCCACACCCAATAGCTTCTAGTTACTAGAAAACTTGTTTGTTACTATATAGTAGCGTTGGCCTCCAACCTGTTTGCGATGGCCTCCACCTAGTAGCTTCTAGTTACTAGAAAGCTGTTTTGTTGCTGGTAGCAATGGCCTCCAACATAATAGCGATGGTCTCCACCTAGTAGCTTCTAGTTACTAGAAAGCTTTTTTGTTACTTGTAGCGATGGCCTCCAACCTAATAGTGATGGCCTCCAACTCGTAGCTTCTAGTTACTAGAAAGTGTTCTTTTATTACTAGTAGCGATGGCCTCCAACCTAATAGCGATGGCCTCCACCTAGTAGCTTCTAGTTATTTACCAGAAAGTTTTTGTTACTAGTAGCGATGGCCTCCAACCTAATTGCGATGGCCTCCACCTAGTAGCTTCTCTCGAGACAAGCATGGCCACACTATGCTCAGAATGTACAGTGTCAGGCTCCCACCAAAATTGAAAATTTATTTTGCCATGCCCAGTTGGGTGACAAGATCTTTTCTGTGGCTCCACACTGCCCTTCTCCACTACGAACCACAGCTGCTCGGTCATCTCACCCTGCGTCATGACCTTATGTGACGTGCTCTGTTGTTCTATGCATGAGCATCCTCCAACCATACACATTCATATCGAAAACTCTTTACAAGGAACAATGTCCTCTCTTGCTGTTCTCAACATGTTCCAAGTGCTTTGACATTGGTTGGCTCAGTCAAACGTTGAGGTTCACTATTCCTCTCTTTCAATCACTTGAGCAATTTGATGCCGAGGCTGCAACCTTTTCACCTGGCTTGAAGCCTTCAGAATTTGAATAAGAAACAGGCTGCAAAAAAATAAATGGATCCCAAAAAGCATCAAAACACCTATAGGTGCCAGCGGAATGCCAGCTGTGCTTTAGAAGATATTCACTGCCAGGTGCAAAGGATGCTGTTCCATTGGCATGAGGCCCTCTTGGGCAGGCACTCATCTGGCCAACAGCATTACGAGCAACCTCGAGCTGTGAAGTTGTCTCGTATGATGAAAGCATGTGTTCACAATCCAAAAAAGCAGCACCAATTCTTCTGAATTAACCACGCCAAGACCGAGTCCGCCATGTGCAATGTAAATAATAGTACATCCATCTATGCTAGAATTTTATGCTTGGCGATGACAGGTAACGGCTTGACTCCAAATTCTCATGTGTCTTCATATTGCTTTTCAAAAATTAAACAAAACCAAGCAAAGCTGCAATAGTGTTCCATTGTCACCAGAGAGCATCTGGGACGGGCCTCGGCTCGTTCAGATCTTACCAGCGCGTTCAAGAAGTGCACCTGGAAGGACGCAAACACAGCGAGTGCACCTGGAGTTCCAACATATGTAGCGATGCCCTTTGTTACTAGTAGCAAAAATGCTCCTAGTAGTAAGGCCAGGAGCCCCTAGTAGCGTCCTTGCTCCTAATGTGTATGGAGTTCCTTCCTGTTTCTCAACATATCTCAACACACAACTTTTTCCTTGCGTCTCCAACCCCATACAGGATATCAAGAATTGTTTGGGTTCGTTCGACAATCTCACCTCGTCCAAAAGCTTGATCCATGCTTTCTCCTTGCAAACTTGGCTGTCGTGTCTGGGCAATGCAAAAGAGATTGAAATTACCCTCCAAAGTTCAGTCAATCATGATACACTCCCAAAACCTAACATGGACCCTGAAAGACCGTTTTCCTCTACAAACCAGTGGTTTTCAGGGTCCATGTTTGTTTTTAGATGTTTTTAGCGTGTTATTCTTGTCTTGCAGATTGAGCAGCTTTGCTTGAAAATAGGGAGCTTAGAAGTCTCCTGAGCCCGTTCCCGATTGCCAAAGCACCTCAAAACAACCAGCCTCTGCTTCGGGAGACCGCGCAAAGTCGGGAGACCGCTCATGCAGACTGTGACTAGGTCGAGGCCGGAACTGTTTGAATGCCCTGTACGGCACAACGTAAACCTGGATTGGCGTGCGAAATCACCATGTACACTGAAAGGCCCCTTTATCGTATGAAAACAAAAACAAGTCGTGAGTGGCAACGACTGAAAAATCTGAAGGCCCAAGGCTCAAAGTCCTTCGCAATCATCTACTGACTCCAATCTAGGATCCAAACCACTGATGGTTCAACAGCTTTGCAGGTAGCCAAGTGACGCCTTGGAACTTTGGATGCCAACCCAAATGCATAGAAACACAAGACTCCGTCTTCTGGGCAATGAGTTTCAAGTTTTCGTTTGTTGCTTGCGTCTTGTGTCCTGGATCTTGAGTGCCCTTTAGTGTATGTTCACGAGCATACATCATCATACATTATACGTGTGTATGCACATTGAATATACATATCAAGCCTACAAACGCAAAATTAATATGTAGACACAAGAAAGTAAGTGTTTGAGACGTCATACCGTCTGGGTATTGTCGTTTGAGTTTGTTGTGTCATCTACTTGTGTTTCCCGTGTTGTTTGTGCTTTTTGCAAGATTGTCCAAAGTAGCATTAAAGAACAGTCCATTTGGAGACTGCAACCCGCCCCCTCTGAAGAGTGATAAGCTCGTTGGCACCATGCAAATCCAATCAAATTCATCTCGCCCTAAACTATTCAGAAACAAACATGGTGTCTTTCCTCGCGCCTTTCAATGGCTCGCAGGAGGAAAGAGACAGGAATTCAAACATTGCAGCAGTGTTTTGCCTTTAATGTTTTGACTCCATGGCCTGTACTTTATGAAGAACCTACCAGCCTGAGACACCCAATGCCCAAGCAAAAGCTCAACTTGTCCCAAAACACAACGGTAACCTCGGTTGGTGCAGGTTGATTAATGTGGATTGATGTTGTATTCTTTGATATTTTCAGTTTGTTGGATCATGGGCCGTCGATCTGTGATGGCAGCTCTGTAGGTAAGGAAGGAATGCGGCAGGTTCCTGCTTACGTGCCCTCTCTTGTACGCAGCTGCATTTATAGGTGAAATGGCATTGCCTTAATGTTTGCATCCCGTGCATTTGATAAAGAAAACTGT